AATACATCTACATTTTTATTCTTTTTCTTTTTATGAAATTAAACTATAGCTAATATAAAGTTATGAATTATAACAAAAAACTAATATTTACTTTAAATTCCGAATCCCCAAAAGAAAATCCACTTAAATATTCTGAACGTTTCTTCTGAAGTCATAAAACCGTTATCTCTGTAATTCAGTTTTTATATACGGAGCCTACAAAATATGTAATATAATTTAGGGAATGGACAATTTCTTTGCTCTTGAATATTCAAGGTTATGACTCCTCAGAATATCAAAGTAATTTTATAATTAACTATGTATATTACCTTAAATGGACATGGAAAAATCAATAATGTATTTCTAATTGCTATTCCCTATCTACTTGACTTCACTAACCTACTTTTGTATCCAAATTGATGTCAACAATAAAATCAATTAATAATTCGTGTGTAATAAGTTGACGCGTCTCATTGGTTTGATGAGTTTTTAAGTCTTAGTTTCGATTCATGTTCAAATTGTTTTTAAGCAAAAAAAAAATATATAATATTTCATAATCTACACCTGGGTCGCAAGTTCCAAGCACTATAAAAACTTCTCTCCCTATAAATCCATCGACCCGGCACCAGCACGTCGAATACAAGGAATGCTGAGAAGTTTCATCTCGTCTCTATATGAGTATACAAACACAATTTGACTATTATAAGAGATTAGACGTGTACGTTAACTATTGAAAATATCTATCTTGTATTTGATTAGTTCTCGTCTATATTCAGACACGAAATAACTTTCCCCGTATTTCTTTAAATATGTAATAATACAATTAATTCATTAACACTTCACAGTTAAAATTATAATGATTAATTAATTTGAGTATTCTCTTTTCTTTGTCTATAAATACTCTTTTTTAATTAAATTTTAAACTGCATTCAGTTAATACATTTTAATTATTAATATTGCAATGAAGCCATACCATACAAAATTATTCACATTTTACTGACTGAGATTGAATGCTAGCATTTATGATACCACGAATAAGAAATGTAACAATAATTTAATAAATCTTTTACCCTTTGCATTTCAAAGAACTTTTCAATATGTTACAACAAATATTTTTCATATATTCGCTCCTGTTAAATATTTTCGAAGTCATATATTTCTTATTTCTTTTCTACATAGAAAAATATTACTTAATTTCTAACAGTTTTAATAGAACTTAGTGCTAAGCTGTAATTATTATTTCTCTTACAAGAAAAAGAGCCTAGAAGTATTTAAAGAGTTGTTTAAAAGTTCAGATTAAGAACACAATGTGCTGTAAATTAACATTAAGATATACCTTTAAGTAAATCTTTGTAATTCTAGTTTCGGAATCTAATAAATATATCTTTACAACATAGTAATTAGTAAGATAACAATGTTAATTGTAACATTAATTAAATCTCAGTTCAGTTACGCTACAGATGAAACGTAACTACGACTTTGTTGGATTAACATCTTAAATCGACAGTGTGTTAAATAACGTTTGTTTATATAGAATCTGGTACTTAAATCAATACCTATAAATACTAATGAATATATAATCAATATTTTTTTTTAATGAAACAAATTAGTTAAGCCAAGTATTAACGATTTTCGAAACTACGAGTAGATATGACAAAGTCCCAAACATTTAACCTTAAATACTAATAATAAGTTCAATGGAAATATCTAGTTACCACATTAACGAACAAAGCATCTAATGCCTGCAATCATAAGTTCTAAATTCCTAAGAATGGGAATTTTGAGCCACTGCTTAATGCCCCTATTTTCTTATTAAAGTAGGCGTTTTGAATAATCACATCTCAATTGCATATAATAATTAATTAAATAACATATTTTCTAAGCTTCATTTCCTGCGACATAAACAGACCTTCACTAATGTATAATGAAATACAATTTTCCAATACAAAAGCAAGTTCCTCAACCACATTTCAAGCTATAATAATATAACCTTGTTTATTAAAACAAATTAGTTGACTCAATCCAAGTGGTTGCTTTACTTTAATTTCCTTCTGGTCTTACGACCTGAAAGTTTGCATCATGATAATATTTTATTTATTTATATATTTAAAAATTTATTGAACATAATACGATAAATAAATAATTCAACAGAAAGATGGCAGAGAGGGTGTTGTAAACAAAAGGCAGTCTCCTTGACAATTGGTAATATTATCCGGATAATCAAAGAAAGAGAATATTGATGTTTAATAATATGGTGTTAGGGATATTATAATAAACCTACATAATAGTAAATAATTTAAAATAAAATATGCATCTAGAATTAACTTAATACATACAATAATGATTTATATAGTGTCCATTTAACGTTTCTCCGATAGATAATTTAATAGACCTTAACCGAGTAAGTTAATATAATTACTATTTTAGACATTAGTATTTTCAGTGGTGAAGCATTTCACAGTTTATTTGCATGAATATTGAAAGAATTTCTATAAGAGTTCTTTTTGAAATGGATCATTTGAAGCACTAAAGTTTGTTATAATCGAGAGTTACTCTGAAAAAATTTGAAACTAAATCTTTAATTTTAAATATTTGATATAATTCGTCTTTACTTTTTAAAACATCTATTGTTATTACTTGTATTTATTGTATAAATTATGTTATTAAATCAATGTGTTATGGCCTACAAAAATAATTTTTGTACCTACTTCAACTATAGGAATTTTTTTTTTCTTAATTTAATACGTGGCTGTAACAAATCTCTTAAGAAGATTTATTAATCCATTCTAAACTCCATTTAATTTTAAATTTCTTTCATACATATTGTACATTAATCAATCAACAAACCAATAATATTCTTCGTATATAACATATAATTATTTAAAAACATTTTTTATATAGTTTTATTTCTACCAAATATCACTATGATAAAGTTGCTTGGTAAAATCGTAATCCGTTTACTTTAATCCGTATCAGAACATGTCAATTGGATAGTTGATGGTCTACTACAACTCGTCAAAGGAATCGATCGCTATTCATTTCCCTGTACTCTGTGTATAATTAAAACTGAATCTGAGTAGAATTTATCTTTGTCCAGTTGCCGAAATTACTTGGACTACAGAAAATGAATTTAAACGTTATACGGGATGCCTGGTGAATTACTATCAATATTTAAGGAGAATACTCGGTACATGATTGTCATTCGAATTATGTAAAAAAAATAGGCACTTAATTTTTGACAAAATTTCCGTATAAATAAATAAAGTGCTGATACAACACCACGCCGCCGCGCGCGTATGTGTGAGTGTGTGTGTATACCTAATCTGTAGGGTGTTCACACGATGCGTAATTAATTACATAACTTTTGGTTAACTTTACTTTGAAGTTTATTAATATTTATGTTATATTAATTTTTATTTTTTCATATATGATCGTCAAATATCACGTCCTCAAGTATCGATAGTAAATCACCAGTCACCCTGTATATTACTCATATTTGTTACTCTGCAATATTTTTTACATATATACTGCGAATTGTCCCTTATTACTCATGTTCATGCATTACCGTCTACATTTATCAACATTTAAGCAAAAATTTGCAATTTCTTTCTGACATCTTTAAAGATATATAAAGATCGAATTAGTAGTTAGGACGCGGCTATGTCAACTTTATCCTTAGTTATCTTTGTTATCATATGCTTCAATATATTAAATATTCTGTATGTAAAGGATTTTTTAGTAAAAAACCCATTAAGTGTAAACTAACATTCGTGAGGAGGAGGGAGGTAGTAAATCTGGTAGTAAAACTTCTAGTGAATAATAATATGAAACCTTATTAAATTTTTTCTCACGTTGAAAGTGACGCATTAAAAATTAAATTCTAATTTATATTTGAAAATCTATCGAGGTCGAACACAAAATAAATATTGTTATAGAAAAAGGATTTGGATAATGGAAAATTAATAAGTCAAAAAATACATGTACTCATGTTCACTATTTACTTGGAATCAGATAAAATATTTGAATGTCTATTAATATACTAAAAAAACAATAGTAAAACATACTTATTGACGTAAGACAAGTAACATATTTTATATTTATCGGTGCACATGTGAAAAAAACAGGTTTATTAAAAGATTTTTAGCAACGAATCTGTATACATATTATGTATGTATGTACTATAAAAGGTTGATGTGTAATGTAGTGATCTATAGTTCGTAGTCTACTCTATTAAGAGGTCAATGTAACCTGAGACTTTCGGAAGCTGTAAGTGCTCTCTCTTTGATGGCAATTTTCCACCTTCCTTTCCATCTTCGATCTCAATAGTCTGTAGGCTTACAATACATAAAAGGCAAACAAACTTTAATTCCTCAGTATACAGATTTCATATAAAAATTAAAGATAAAATGTGTGAGTACATGTATGTTTTTAAATATAAATATTAATAAGAAAAGTTTATTTATTTTTAAAACTTTGGTAACATGCCAAAAGAAAATTTATACGAGTATATGTAACTTGATAAAAAATATATTATAAATGAAGTTAAGAAATATTTACCAATTGAATAAAAACACATACATACTTATTATTCAAATTATGGTATAATCAGAGGATGAAATAAAGTCTAAAAATTAATATAATTTTGAGATCTATTCAAGAACAGCGTATTATTTTTTTGCAATCTTTCTGATTCCAATTTTAGTTTGCGTGGTTATTGTTTGATATGAGTTTTAACAGGAAAAATGTACAAGCATCACTCAGACGTAGGTATCTCAATAACCCGTTCATTACAGTATATACCTTGTGTATGGGATTTCTCATTAGTGCAGTCTATGAAGACATCCCTCTTTATAGGAACGGCTTCAGAGCTGCAGATCAAGCTGGTAAAGACACCATATAGTCTCGTGACGTTGACAAAACATTTCTTATTGGATTTACAATTAATTACCTTAAATTCATACAAATTAGGTAAATTTTACGCTTAAAAACAGCGAATCGCCGTGTAAAACAATTTTGCTAAATTATTTAGCGCCTGGAAAAAGAAAATGTTTTAATTTTATTTTTGTTTTGTATTCATATTATTGTGAGTTAAATTTCATGTGAGGTTTCCACAAATATTAAACATTAGGTGCTCCATACAAGGTAGTCATAAAGTTTGTATAGTACGTTACAGAGTGAGTACATCGTTGCAACCTGAATTAATTGTACAGGATTAAAGCTTTGTTGAATTTAATAAAACACGTTGAATCAGTTTGAATTCTTAGTGACAACTAACTTTATTTTATTACACCTTCAAGAATACATATTATTGTAATTACGTTCCGTTTGATGTATTAAATAATTTCAACACCCCCACTACATCAAACAAAAACATATATATAATTACATTTCGACAAGACCTAATCCTTTTACACAATTATAATGTTTAGATGAACTAAGAGCCTTAGTTAATATATCAGCTGGCATCTCATTTGTCTGCAAATATTTTAAAATAACAATTTTATCTTTGACAGCATCTTTTACAAAATGGTATTTGATATCTATGTGTTTGCTCTTTCTATTTAAACTATAATTAGTTGCCAGCTTTTGAGCACTTTGACTATCATTATACAAAACTATAGGATAAATGTGATTAGTAATTTCACATTGCAAAGATCTGAGGTACATGGCTTCTTTACAAGCTTCCGCTATTGACATATACTCAGCTTCCATGCTTGAAAGGGCCACAGTCCTCTGCTTCCTACTCTCCCAAGAAACAGCTGCCCCGGAGATAACAAAACAGTAACCTGTATATGATCTACGATCAATGCAATTGCTAGCCCAATCAGCATCTACAAAACCATTTAGTTCAGCTGTCCCTTTTACATATTTTAAACAAAAATGTTTGGTTAGCTTTAAATATCTAAGAATGCGCTTAGCATATCCCCAGTGAAATTTATTATAACATTTACAAAATTGACTCAAAAAACTTATACTATAGGCTATGTCAGGTCGTGTCAACACTGACAAATACATAAGACTACCAATAAGTTGTTGATATGGGATTTCGTTATCACAAACATCACCTTTCTCTAACTTCAACTTATATTCCATTGGTGTATTAGCTTCTTTGCAATATAACATATTAAACTTATCTAACAATTGATTTACATAATGTTACTGATCCAGAGTTATCACATTTAAGTTTTTATCAATTTTTACTCTCATACCTAAACATTGTTGTACTTCTCCTAAATTTTTAATATTAAATTTAGCACTCAATACAGCAATTAAATTATCAGTCTCCACCTTTTCATTTGAGAATACAAAGAAATCATCAACATACAAGGCTATGATAATTTTCACATTATTCTTAAATTTTGTAAATACACATGGCTCTAGATGGCTTTTACTAAATCCTAATTCACTTAAACAATTATCAACCTTTTCATACCATGATCTAGCTGACTGCTTCAAGCCATATATAGCTTTATTTAATTTAACAATTTTATTACCAGTTTTATTATTTAAATACATACATGGTGAAGCCATATAAATGTCTTCTTTGATATCACCGTTTAAGAAGGCAGTTTTAACATCTAGATGTGTAATATTCAAGTCTAATTGTACAGATAAGGCAAATAACATTCTAAGAGTAGAGTGACGCACCACTGGAGAAAATGTCTCATCATAATCTACACCTGGTTTTTGAGTAAACCCTTTTGCCACAAGACGAGCTCTATAACGAACACTGTTATCACTTTCTAATTTCGTTTTGAATACCCACTTGCACTGTATTATTGTTTTATCAGACGGCACTTTGTCCACCTCAGTCCACGCATTATTTTCTTTAAACGCTTGGAGTTCTTCATTCATAGCCGCAATCCAATAATCTCGACATGAACTCTGAAGAGCCTCTTGAACAGTTACTGGATCATTCAGCTTCTCATTCGATGAAGTGCATAAATTCGAATATCCAAAACGTTCTGGGGGTCGTCTTTCTCTTTTATTTATATCTTGTTCTTTCTCCTGTTCACCTTCCTGTAACGTAGAATTCAAATCAGGTTCAACATCTTCATACTCAGACTCTATAGAAGTATCTTGATCGACTAGTTTATTATTTGTCTCATCAGAACTTTTCACATCACAGTCAACATCTGGTATCGGGAGTAAGTCCCCCACTGAAACTGATATGTTGTTATCATTTATAACTTTCTTTTCTAAATTTTCTTGTATAATGACATCTCTACTTATAACAAATGATCTTTTATCTGGGTCATATACTCGATAACCTTTTACATTTTCTGCATAGCCAACTAAAATACCTTTTTTGGCCTTTTTATCCCACTTTTGTCTTTTTTCTTTAGCTATGTGAACCATTACCATGCTGCCAAAAACTTTCAGATGGCTGATATCTGGCTTGACATTATGCCATAGTTCATAAGGTGTTTTTCCTTGCAACACAGATGAAACTGTGCGATTATGTAAATATACTGCTGTGCTGGTGGCTTCTGCCCAGAATGTTTTACTTAACTGTGCATCAAAAAGCACACATCTTGCCTTTTCTACTAAGGTTCGGTTCATTCTTTCACACAGTCCGTTCTGTTCAGGTGTGTATGGACATGTTGTTTGATGAACTATTCCCATTTCCTTTAAGTAATTATGAAACTCAGCATTACAAAATTCTCTTCCATTGTCACTTCTGATAATTTTTATCTTCTTATTTGTCTGATTTTCAACTAACAGCTTGTATTCTTTGAAACTCTTCAAGGCATCATTCTTATGTTTTAGAAAATAAATAGCTGTCCATCTGCTAAAGTCGTCAATAAATAAGATAAAGTATCTAGAGCCTCCAATGGAAACACTGTCCATAGGACCACAGATGTCTGTGTGAATGATATTCAACACCTCTGTGCTTCTCTTACTAGTATGAGTAAAAGGTAACCTACTCTGTTTACCTTCGCAGCAAACGGTACAGGTAGACTTAGTAATGTCAACTTTTTCTTTCAAGGACAATCCGTCAACGGCATTCTGCATTTTATTCAGACATCCACTGTTTACGTGCCCTAATCTGCGATGCCAGAGCTCACCAGATATGATTGCTGCTGCAGACACATTTTCTTGAATTTGTAACTTGTAAACTCCATTGTTTAATAATGCACAGGCTACCAGTGTACCTCTCTGGTTATATATTTCACAACTATGTGCAGTAAATACAACATTGTTTCCTTTGTGAATCAATTGACTGACTGACAACAAATTAGTTGTCAATCCCGGTACACAAAACACATCTTTTACGTCCACATCAAAACTGTTATGTTTAACTATGGTAGAAATCTTTATATCGCCAGAACACGCAATCGGCACTTTCCTTTTGTCGGCTATTGTAATAGACTGGCCTTCCTTTTCGTAAGAAATATTCGACAGCCATTGTTTGTTTGGCGTCAAGTGCACGCTGGCCCCAGAATCGACATACCAATCTTGGTTGTTGAAGTTTCCGCTTAAAAAGACCGTACTGAATGCATTAGTTTGCTTGCGTTCATTTCCTTTGTTATTTGTAGTTTCAGCCGTACATTGTGACTTAAAGTGACCGATTTGTTTGCATCGATAACATTTTATTTCTTTCTTCGCCTTTGTTGACAATGACGTTCCGCCATGTTGACCTCCATGATTGTTATTTCTACCAATCATAGACTTCCTGGCCTTCGATGAATGTTGCCCACTTCTATAACTGACTAAAGCGCCATTCGATCCATCATTCATTTCATTCGTTCCGGTTTCCGATTCCATATCAAGAAGCTTACTTTTAATGGCGTCGGTTGTAATCTGAATACCTGAATGTTCGATCGCCATTATCATGGGAGCATATTTTTCAGGTAGCCCTGCTAATAACAGCGAACCGATCCACTCGTCGTTTAAATCAAAACCTGTATTACACAACTTTTGCCCTGTTTCTATAATTTGCGTGACATATGCAATCATAGATCCACAATTTTCGAGTCTTATAGAAATTAAATTTCGTAGTAAGCTTATTCTTCTTGTAAATCCGGAATCGTCGAATAAGGTTCTCAGCTTCTCCCATAATTCCTTGGTAGTAGAAACATTTCTAATGTGTACATATAGTGCAGAGTCAATCGTAAGAATCAGTTTCGCCTTTGTTCTATTATCATCCTCTGTAGCTAAAGTCACATTTGCCTCTTGTTTGATGCATTTCATCATCCCTTCTAGGATTAGGAAGTTTTCTGCTGCAAACGCCCATTCACTATAATTTTCTCTTCCTCTTAGCTTCGGCACATTTACGATGTAATTTGCCGCCATGTTAAACTAGCTGATCTAATTATCCTACTGCGATTTATTATTACACTTGACTTGGTAATTATTAAACTTTCGCGATAATTAGCTAACAAAAACTAATAGGACTGGGCCCATAACCTAATAAAACACGTTGAAACAGTTTGAATTCTTAGTGACAACTAACTTTATTTTATTACACCTTCAAGAATACATATTATTGTAATTACGTTCCGTTTGATGTATTAAATAATTTCAACAGAATTGAACGTTGAATTTATTTTGAAACAGTATTGAAGTTTAGTTTAGTAAATATAAATCATTTTCAATTTTGCATATTAATAAATGAAATATGACAATCTTTTCATTATAATATTTTGTAAGGAAATGCATACTTCTTTTTTTCAGAGAAATGTATATTGAAAGAGTAACAGTAAAAAACTTTAAGAAAACAAGTTGGTGATATTTCTTGTTAAGTAAGCTGTAAAGGATATTATATATCCAATATTTTTTTAATTAAATGTATATACTTTTGACTGTATTCACATATATGTAAATCCAAAGAAATTGATGTCCAATACTTTAGGCTAGAACATTACTCTTTAAGTAACCTAACAATTGCTATGATTAACATCACTTTTATTGAAGAACATTATCAAAATCATGAACATCATAACTCGGCTGTTGACGTTTTAATAACACATTAAAGTTATTATTATGACAACATCCATATCAACAACTATGAAACTTAACGATCCGTGGCTTTGTAGATATGAACATTATGATTTGAAGTTATGACGAAAAGACTTGGCTTAAATAAAAATTAATGTTGAAATTCAACCAAAATTATGATTATCTGTAATCTGGTTGGCGGTGACAATTTTTTTTTTTATGTACGGAAATAAATCTTAATGATTTCAAAGATTTTCGATAGTTTTATTCATTTATATGAAACTAATATTTGTCGGAAATACTACGCGTGCTTTAACTTTGTCAAAAAATGTCATACTCCCGACGTGTCGGTTACTTTTCAGCAACCGTGATCACAGGCAGACGAGATATGAATCTCACAAAGGTCGTCTTAACGTCGGGAGTATGTCGTTTTTACAAAAATAAAGCACGCGTATGCTACGCGTATCTGAAATATATAAGTTTCATTTAAAGCATTAAAATCTTTCTATTGCATTGTTTTCTTTTTGAATTTTTCTAGTATCTGGGGAGGACACATAATGCTTTAGCTTCTCTTGTACCGTCGTAAATATTATATAAGAAGTGCACGTTTATCACACTGTAACATTAAAGAAGAATAATACCACACACGTCGTTCTATTCCCACTGGTACATTACCATTTTACTCGAAGTATTGTCACTAGTATAATCTCAAACAGTTGAATTTACTTATAACTTATTAATATTCAAATTACTATTTTATCACAAAAATATTATACTCAAGTTTTTTGCTTCTTTCCAGCTAAATAGTATTTATACTTAAATGCTAATCCAACTTTTAATCATTTGTGAAATATAAAATATTTTAATGTTGATAATTTTTTAAAATATATCCTTTAATTTACTATAATTATTTAATGTAATTTATATGACCTCTTTTTTTAAAAAAAACGAAAAAAGCTGAATACTCTCTACCTTCGATATTATATTTAAACAAAATGATATCATAGTTAGATATATAATGTACAAACATATATTACAGTTGGTCGGTACTGACAGTTTATTGGAAATTTTGACGAGCCATTAGTCAACTTCAAACAGTTACAATGTCAGTTATATCGCTGTTCAAAATAAATGTCAATAGTAATTGCATCATTCAAATATATGTGTTGTTACGATAAGTCACACTTATGTGAGCTTATACTTTTTAAATCCTACAACAAGGAAATGATGTTGACATAGACATTAAACACTGATATTATTTTGTTAGGTAGAGAGACGAGCTTGGACGGTGAAGGTGAGCGTTTAAGACGCGTTAGATAGGATCCGCTTAAACCTACACCTGGGTCGCAAGTCCAACAAAAATTCAAAAGTATATCTATTGGTAAATTTAATACGTATTGTTGATCAAATGTAAATTAATAAATTGCTATACCGAAATATTTACCAGTAATAAGTAAAAATCGTATCAAATGTTGGCAAATTATCAAATGTTGGCAAATTTATAAGGATATATGTTCTATAATTATACAATGTTTATTAAATATACTATTTGTATTTAAATATATATCTTGTCATTTACAGTTTAAATAATCGAATAGTTAGGATTTGACTTACAAAAGTGTTGTGTCGTCAATTATTTGTCAAACGAATGTCTAATATACTATTATTATATTGTTAACGGAATAGACTACCCCAACCCCCGCCGCCGGTCGCTCACACCATAGACAATTGACACTATAAGAATGGCTGCAAATCGTCGAGAGCTCATTCTATTAGTTGTCATTAGTAGTAATAAGATCAACTTCGAAGAGTATAAGTGAAAAGTGTTAAAGTGAAAAGTGTTTAAGTTCTAAGTAATTCTAAGTGATAAAAAGAGGCAATAATTTGTTAAGATTAGAAATTTATTAGTTCGTTAAAAAGTTCGTTAAAAATATAATTATATTGGAGTCAGCTTTGTTTAAAAACTGTTAAATCTTTAAAATAATATTTTATTGTATTTAGAATATTATTTGATTTATAATTAAGGAATTATTATTAAAAAGTAAGAATAAGACTTGGGTATAAAAGTGGTAACATGTCAAATATGTGTTTAATATACTGTTAAATTGGAACCCGCTTTCTAAATATTATTTACTAAAATATTTTCTATTATTTAAGAGTTATGTTTTCAATATATATATAAGATTATATTTTCAATATATATATTGTTACAATTAAAAAGTAAATATCTTGAATACCGTGTGGTGTTAGGAGGACCTATAAAACATTGCTCTTCGCCGAGGCAAGGGACTTGACATCGGACAGCAGCCTTGGCCAGAACTTCAATTGAAACCCTGTGGTTATAGTGAAACTATTGGGCAGCGACTCTAGAAGAAACAATTACCGAAAGACTATATAGACGAGATAAGTATATTATATTGTATAGCTTCCCTTTGGAATATAATTTTACAAAATATCGTCTTTGCACATGGAAACCTTGAACGACGACAAGATCGACATCACCAAGGATAGTTCTCATTTCGAAAACACCGAACTGGTTGATGAAATCGACAAGGAGCTGATGGAGAACACAATGGAGGACGATGTCGTGGACAACAACCTTTCCGGCTCCGTGGAGATTTTGAACGCCAAGCTGCGCTGCAACGACAAGTTTAAATTTAACTATAAAATTGTCAAGGTTAAGAGTAGAAAGATGAAAATTCGTATTTTTTAATATGTACACATGTGTACATGTAAAGTGAAAATGTATGTACAACATCCAGCTGCACTACATACATACATATTATACATAATACATACATAATTTTTATTTTAATATTTAATATTTTTTTTGTTTAATTTTCATAAATATTATTATGCAGTCTAGTGTAATTGCATTAAAAAAATATCAGGGGTTTAGATTATATTGTAGATTTACTATGTACTACATATGTACATATATACGTATTATGTACGTAGGTACTACATAGTTGGTGTATTTTTTAGTGTACATTATTGCTTTTTTAACATTTTTAATTGTTTAAAATAATTTTAACATTTATAAAATAAATAAAATTATTTTTTTTCAATGTTATTTTTTTATTGTCTCACTTTTTTTGCATTTAATAAACTTTGATTTATACATACATATAAACATTAAAATTTATGTATGTAGGTATATATGTACAAACATTTACACAATATAATGCACCTTAACGACGAACATATTGTAGATCTATTTGGATTTTCAAAATCCCAATTGAACTCTATACGTTTCGCTTTCAACAAAATCCAACCGCATGGTGATTATGATGAATTTAAAATGGCCAATTTTCAATTTAACATGTCCGAGGATGACATCTTCGAAAGATTGATGCATTTCAAGCAAGTTTACAAAATTTCAAGTATCGTACAAATGTCCATTGCCATCAAATCCACCAATCCCAATAGATATTCCAATCTGGTGAAGCGTGTAAAGGAACACTTCAACTACAAGATCGCAACCAACAATGTCAAGTTATACAGTCGAAAGACCAATGTGGCCATAGAACGACTCGTGATCGACGTCTCTCGAGACCCTTACATGCATCCTGTAATAGGAAAACCAATACTGTTGTAACTGCCTTGTCGAATTTGTATACTGATAGATTGGAAGAGAACGACGGTGATTTGAAAATGATCAACATTTGTCTTTCTTTTATACACATTTACAAGAAAACCTGCATCGAAAATTACAATAAATTTAGAAACTGTCTACTCAGCAACAATTTTAAATCATTTGCCATCAAAAAGCCAAAGTTTTTGCAAAAGAAGACGCCCGTTCTCGATGACACGGTATCTAGAATCTTTAACGAGTTATATTCCACCTTTGGACACATCCACAGCGATCTGTGCAGGAAGGTGTCTTTCGTGTCGGCCGACAATATCCATTTGAAATCGTTCGTCGAAAAATCAGGCAAATTCCATAAGGTGGACAACGTGGAGGAGCTGTCGGACGGTGTAGAGTTCACGTTCGACAAGAAGCTGTTGTTCAACATATCCCTCACCAATCAGGGTAAAACGTCAATAGTTAATATAGCAGAAAATGAAAAGGAGCTACTAATAGATGCTGTTAAGAAACAGGTCGTATGCAGGGATGGTTTGAATATTTCAAATATTGTCAAAATGTGCTCCTACAAGGACCTGCAGGTGTTGCATCCGTTCGATAGATTCAAAGTGATGAAATCCATAGAATCCTATGAGGATTCATTTGTCGTGGTGTCCGGTTTCCAAATGTCAACGCATATAAGCATCGGTGATTTCGGATGTCAAAATATTATTAAAATTTATCCAAATAAATTGAACAACATCACGACAATATCTTTGAAAAATGAAGAATTGGCATAGTGTAGTGTTTGTGTACGTTTAGTGTATGCTTAGTAGGTAGTGAGCTGTAAATTTACATATGTAATTGTAAAGTTGTATTTCAATTCCATGTATATACTATTAATATTCAACTTGTATTAACGTTTAATGTAAATTGTAAGTTAAATGTGTATTACATTAATTTTTTTTATTTAACTTTTGTTAATAATTATACATTTAAATCAAAATCACATGTTATACAATGAAAATCACATTGAAATATACAGACTCTGGTTGTTGTATATTTTTTTTGTTTCTCCATTTTTTTGCATCAAAAATTAGTCATTTTAAGAAAAAGGCATCCAAATTTAATTAAGCATTCGACCTCGTTTCTCTATTAAATTAGTCATCCTTACACGTGTCGTAGGCATACTAGAGCTTACATCATCCTGTTCACCAGTAAACAACATCATTAAGATTAGCCGCTAGCAAGCAAACAACAGCATAAAGATAAAACGTTACGTGCACACGAACAATAACATTGAGATAAACCCCGATATGGGCACGTAAACAAGGCCATGTCACGAAAACATCATTATGATGCGACGGAAGCATTCGCTCATTAATTGTTATCGCTTCGAGATAAGCGCTATTACTCATGCATCATTAAGATTCGCTTGGCAACAGCAAGCAAAAAAAATGAAATCTTTATGATTACGTAAATACGATATTTGGTATATAAAGCCCACATCTATGATATCTGTATGCATTACGACTTCGAACACGGGACACGGAGCATCCATGCTGGATGGTTGGGAAGGATTCTCATCTCTATGGTTTCTTTTGATCTGATCGATTGACAACCTGGAGATGTGAAGTTTGTCTTCGACAGTGGTTGCCCCGTGAGCAGTCCGTAGAAGAACCTTTCCAATTGTTCAGTGTGACCAGGGGTATTAGAGTCTGGGGTTGAGTTTAGTTTGTTTACTTTTGAAATATTTGTGTGAACGTGTGGACGTTTAGGTGAAAGCTGAACCCACCCATGGCTAAAATTTCGGTAAACCAACCTAGGCCGCTTTACGCGTGGGGAATGCAAGTAGCTGTCCATACATTCCGTCTTTCATTAAGCGCGTAGCTGGAGTCGCTCAGCTGACTGAGAAGGGTGCGTGGCTGGTACTGGCGGGTGTGTTCATACCGATTTGGGGTTGGTCCGTTTGATGGTCGTAATGCAGCAGTATTAGTTGTAAGTAGTTATAAGCGTCGCAGCCTAGGCTGCACTTAGTTTGTAAGTGCGTTTAGTATTTAAGTTGCGTTTAGATTATATGTTGCGTATGCGTTAAATGCGTTTAGTTTATAAGTTGCGTATGCGTTAAATGCGTTTATTTTATAAGTTGCGGTTCTAGTTTATAAGTGCGTTTTTAGTTTATAAGTGCGTTTTGTGCATTCGTATTAAATCGTGTGAAAGACAATATGTGTAAACGTGCCGAACTGTGTATCACACGAGAAGGAGCTCGCTTTGAACATTTGTTAAGGTTAGTGTAGTTATGTAGGTAAATAGGTAGTTTAATGATTGACAATTGTTGTAAATAAGTATGATTCCATTTTTAAATACGCCGGAAATACCAAGACAGGTGAACAGTTCATATTATTTTTTGTGTCAAGGTCACACTATTTACCTAGTCAATAAATTGATTGCTTAAACGAAAGAAATATCTTGGTATTTTTGCCTGTCCTAAGCCAGGATTAAAGTATGAAGGGAAATGGATCATTTTTGTTTATCTAAGGTCTAACACGCGGCGGCGCGCGGCGTTTGGATGTAGGTAAACGACCGCGCGATAACTACATATACCTACGTACATAACTGTTTTGTGTCGATATCGCAGCTAGGGTATCCACGCGATCCGTAATTAATTACATAACTTTTGGTTAACTTTACTTAGAAGTTTATTAATATTTATGTTATATTAATTTTTATTTTGTCATATATGATCGTCAACTACCACGTCCTTAAATATTGATAGTAATTCACCAGTCACCCTGTATACCTAATGACGAAATTAACGCGGACGAAGTCGCGGGCAAAATTTAGTAACATATATTATTAATATGCAATATCGCAATATCTATGAATAGTAGGGTTTTGAAACTTTTAGTTTTACTACCTGACTGTTGGTTCACTTCATTCCTCTAATATGATTAAGTTTCAGTGACGATGTTTGACTTCATGTTTGTTATATGAGTGCCGTCTTGGTTGTGAGTGCTCTACTCTTAGGATTATTACTTCATAGTAATCATATATGAGTATGGTATATTTGGTTTGCATTGTTTAACACAGTTTATATTAATTATGAAAACAGAATCAAATATTACAATATTTGAACACCAACCGAAGTTAAATAGATTTTGAGCTACCTTCGAAAGTAATAAATGTACTTAAAAACAGTTTATAAGAATTTCAAGCGTGTGAAACCATCGGTAATAGATAATTTTATTAAATAATTTGTATACACCATTTAATACTTTTAATTGTTTTTCCATGAAATAAAAATATAAATATTTTTAATATATAACCTCATAATAAATAGTTTTATTGATCGTGCTTTACTACTGCAGAATTTCAATGTGAAAAAACAACAACATATTTGCTGAAAATATTTAAGAGAAACTCTGTTTTATAAATAAAAACATTATATTTATTTCATGAGTCAGATCATGAATAAAATAGTTTAATTTAGTCATCATTGTATATAAATCACTATTTCTAATCTCGAATAATCTTATTAATATGAAATGTTTAAAGAAAATAAAAAGTTTCAACGAATTTATCTTCAATAGACTAGAATGTAATCTTCCAAAACAGTTTAAATCACGGTCATATTAGATCGATATTAACACACTAAAAGGCAATCCATAACGTCACAATTTTAAAGTCAACAGTAAAATTTTAAATTACTTTCAAGACCCCAAAAAAGGGATACAAAGTATTCTCTTATTAAGTCAATCGCCAGATTATATATTATATGATGATATTCTTATTCAAACAGAATCATAATTATGGATGGCTATATTTAAAAACATCGTAAATGAAAATTTTATTACTCATAATTTGTTTATTTTTTATCCATTTTGATTTACAGAAGGCAGTTAATAGGTAAATTTTTCTGTGAACACTTTTTATCAACTTTAAAGTAAAGCGTTGAGAACTCAGTGAACTGCTGGCTTGAAGATAAAAAAAAAAATGTGGAAACTGCTTACAAGGGAGCCCATACAATGTATAGGTGGCTAGTATTACATACATATATACACTGTTACTGCATTGCCGACACTTGGATGATAGCCAAATTCAGAATATTGTAATATTGTTACCTTTTAATATAATTGGGTTTTTAATTTTTTGTGCCAAAAATTATTGAATGAAACGAATTTAACGCTATAAAAAGTTCTTACGTTACAGAGAATTACATTTCTTCTGTAATATTTTGATAACAATTTAAAATATGGTTTTACTGTGTATTCAAAACAAAGCAACAGTGATCGTGTAAAACATCGCAACTAAATAGTTATCATAATAAAAAATTATATTACATAGAAATATGACAAATAAATATGCTATAAGATGTAAAATCTTTGAAGCACCGGTTACAGACTTATATTAATAAAATAATAGTTTTTGTCCGCGACTTTGTCCACGTTCATTTCGGAATTAGTAATATTGTATGTATAGCTGACCGAGCGGAGTCTGTTCTACTCTAGGGGCAGTAAATTACCTGATATTGGAATTTATTACATATTTTTTTCTTTTTCGATCGAACACAGTTAAATGTCCTATGTCCGTCTCCTTGTACTAAACTATCTCCCTGCCAGTTTTCAATCATATCCCAATAGCAATCCTTGAGTTGTAAATAGTGTAACTAACACAACTTTCTTTTGTATATAGATATAGGTGTTTGCGGTGAAAACAATCTTAAGATATTTTTAATGTACATAGAGTTGTTATTTATCAGTTATGAGATACCATCAAATACTTTATAGTGATCTTAATGTTTGAATTGCTTATAAAAATCGAGTTCAGAATTTTTCTGCTTTTTTTTTTAAAAAAATAAACAAAAACTTATCATTATATACCATAACATCTTAACCATTATAAAAGGCATGATAACATTTAAAATTTCAAATCATTTACATATTATAATGCTACTTATTTACAGAAGTATTTTAAGTCACCCATCGTTTACGAACGATTAAAACTTTTAAGAAATTTAACTTCCTTGTATCATGATTCAATATGGCTTCATGAGTTGTGTCTATATGTACGATTTATCACGACCAAAGTTCCCTATTAGTATACTAGTTTTATAACAGTCAATATAATTAACACATTTGTATGAAGATTTAAATCAGAACGTATTAAAATAATCGAGTTTTTCAATACAGCAATCAAACAACGAATTCATTGTGGGTATCAGAGTATAAGTAATTCTTGTTTACTCCTCTGTCGAACTGAAAATTTGGTCGGCATCCAAATATATATGACAATTTAAAATATGGAATCATATAATAATATTAAATTTTAATTTTCAATGTGAACTAATGATGCGTTTCATGGGTTCAACGATATTTTCTATCAATAAATAATAAAATCTTCCTCAGCTACAGCCGGCGTCTCTGTAAATCAATCAATTTGTTCTCACATATATGTGACATATCCGACCTGATTGGTTTTAAATGCGATATCATTTGTAAGTCGATCAGCAATTTATTATTTTATTGGTAAATTTTTCAAATTAATAGCATATATACAAAATAAACACCCATTGACCTTTCAAATATAACACAAATAAAACTATAGAACAAAGCATCAATTGTTAACACTATACATTTTAAATTAAATAATATTTAAATAGTATTCACTGAATTCATTTAGAACGTAACAGAAGCTACTTATTCATTTTTTCGTTCTGACATTTAAACTGAATATATCGTTAGCATAATAAGTTCATTATACAGATATTAATGCAAATTGTGAGAATACCTTCCTTCCTTAG